TTTATTTTTTAGAAGGGTGAAAATTTTTCATTTTTTACAAGAGTGTGAAAAGTAATCCCCAAAAATATACTCTTACAATAATGCTACCAAATTCAAAGCCCAGAACCCAATAGAGAAATTATGAGCATTTAACTTGACAACTCCCCCCCCCCCCCCAATTGTGCATGAAAAGACGACACCGCCCTTGCAAAATCATTGCAATAGTTTTCAAAATTTATAGTGCACATGCGAGAATTTGAAACTTCTTATGTGATACCGAATATTTAGAATAGAGTACCGAAAATTTCAAAAACAAAGAGTATTTATACTGAATTTTTCATATTTTTTGGTATTTTGTACCAAAAATTTCAAAATTATGCTTACTGGAAATTTAAAATTTTCCGGTATAAAATCCCATTGAATATGCCAAAAATTTCAAAATTTTTTGTAATTATAAAAACCAGGTTTTGTACCAAAAATTCTGAAATTTCCAATATATTCCATGGGATTGTATACTGGAAATTTTGAAATTTCTGGTAGGTACAAAAACTTTTTATTTTATCGAAAATTCTAAAATTTATGGTAGTTGCTAATTTTTTTCCTTCTTTTACAGTAAAATACAGAGGCAGAGACGATACTATTGCAGGGAGAGATGTTGACCGAGTGGAAGACCAGGCTAAGCCTGTCAGGGGTGCTAAGGTTGAGTCTTCCTAGATACGGGCTGGACGAGTGGCCCTAACCGGTTCACACCGAAAAAGGTTGGCTCAGCAGGGTCAGTTCTCGGAACCTCGTAGCACTCGATGCTAACCCGTACAATCATTATAGCAGCCTTGGGATGAGGTGGTGTTGTTGATTCGGTGATTCAGGAGGTTGCAGATCTGGTATTAATCTAGTTGTTGAGGAGGTTGGTTTGGAGAAGGTTGTTCGGCTGATCCAGCTAGATGTTGTTGTTGCTGATTCGATCTCGTCTACTACTGCAAACATGAAGGTTATAGCTCGTTCGACCGAGCCGTCTATACACACTGATGGAGGATTTCCTATAGGACCCATTGATTGATCAGTGCTTACAGAGTATGTTGACCATGTGGTGTTATGACTATGGCAGGTAGAGGTATACGTCTTTTATGTTTAACTTTAATTTGTTTATTATTGTGCCATGAAGGCTAACTGCTTATTTCTTTTTGTTTGTTTGTTACAGGAGTGTCTCACACTTAAGATGACATCGCATGTGTTAAAGATGAAGGACTTCCTGAAAATTCTTATGCCTGAGCAAGTCAGCTAGATTATACGGGAGTTTGAGCTACTTGATTTTGCCCACTGCTCCCTCACCATGTTCGACGCTCAACTACTTAGTGCGTTTGTTGAGAGGTGGCACAGTGAGACATCTTCATTTCATCTTCTGTTTGGGGAGATTACTATTACTTTGGATGGTGTCTCCTCATTGTTCCATCTCCCCATCGGCGGCAGATTCTAGACGGCTCATGTTCTTAACATGTCCCTTGCATGTATGATTGTTGCATGAGATTTGGGAGTTTCTTAGGCGGTTGTGCATGAGAAGTTTGGCGTCAACAGGGGCGCTCACCTTCGTATGTATTGGCTTCGAAAGACATACGACGAGCTTGTAACGGATGGGAGTTATAAAGCTTTCATTAAGGTGTACATGCTACTAGAAGTAGCATGTACTCTCTTTTTATACAAGTATGGTGTTTATATCAACGCGTGGTAATTTTGCCTCTTCAATAGCCTCGAGGATAGCAATTGGGCTTGGGGGTGTGCTACGTTGACCATTTTGTATACAGCACTTGAAGTGGCGACAGTATTTAAGATCAAACGGCTTGCTGGCTATTTAAGTTTGTTATAGGTATACTTGAAATTATTATTTGTTATTGATTTCTTATTTAATTGTTACGAATAGCATTCCTTATTTATTATTTGTTTTGTATGTGTTTTGATACCAATTCTAGTTATACAAGCACTTTTCCACCATTTGTGACAGAAGGGTACAACATTTCCCAGTGAGGTCCCCACGGGCGAAGAGATGGAAAGTCAGGCAGGCACATCCCGATGGTGTTGTTGAGTACAGGAGGAGGCTCGATGCGCTAACTGTAGATGATGTCAACTAGACACCATACATTGTGAGTTCGAGGAGTCGTCATTATATTCAGGTTATATGCAGTGGGAGGCCATGGTTGCTAAACACTTGCCTGAGAGGTGTCTGCAACACTATGGTTATGTTCAAAGTATCCCACTACCAATTTCAGATATACCATCTACATGTACTGATTGGTGGTTTTAGACTAACTTCATCAGCTCTGATCATGCCATTAGAGATTGAGCAGTTAGTGTTCAACATCCTTCGTAGTGTGAGGATGGTTACTTTGGGTGATACCTCACTGTACCACACTCCTGCATCATCCCCCACCTACAGCTGATGTTGGATCTTCTGAAGCTGGGGTACATGTAAATTATGTGTCGCCCCCGCCTCCTCTAGCTGATGTTGATGACCAGCAGCGCCACCAGATGATTGCAGTTATTATGGTTAACCTCATGGATTTGGTAAACCCATATAGAGAGATTTATATTGGATTATCTCGTGCTGCACACATAGTTCGTGGGGGCCTATTTAGACATCTTTTATATATCATGGATTTGGTCTATTATGTATTATTTGTATCATTTGAATATTATTTTGACAACTTCATCATAACCCTTTATTTGCTAATATTTTTTTATCTTCCATTGATGCAACATCAACATTAACTAACATTTGACAATGGATTACATAACTTAAATATAACTTAAGAAAAACCTAAACACTACCAGATGATTAATAAATAAGAAAAACCTAAACACTACCTGATGATTCTGAACGTTTAGCATCTTCATTATGTCGTCAACAAATCTTGAAATCTTATCATCTAACTTGATCGGCCCCTTTGTTATCCTACGGCAAAATGATTTCCACATATTCTTCACATTTTCGTCGGTCTTCAACTCACTAAGGTTGGATTTCACCCTCCCGTCAATATCAATCCAATCTTCACAGAACTCGATCTTTCTCAACTTTCTATTTTTGACATCAGGCAACAATTCATTCAACTCGGACGTCAGGCCGGCAAAAGATATAGTTTCATCCGTAAGTCAAAACTTTACCGGAGGTGAACTTCTGTTGAAGTACATTTTTGCCTTAATTAAAAATTAAGAAAGATGTTTTTTTAGATGTTTTTATCAAACATGTGACCTTCTATTTATACAACTTTGCATTTATTATGGACAGCACAAAACTATCGACACAATCACAGTTATTCAAAATTATCAGTAAAATTTTAAAAGTCCAAAAAATCAAACAAATAACGCTACCAAAAATTTCACTTAGATTGAAATTTTTGATATCAACCGATAAATTTCATTTCCAAAATTTATTGTAACATACCAAAAATTTAGATTATACTATCAAACTTTTTGGTCTGTACCAAAAATTTAAACCAATTTTTAATCAGAAAATTTTGAAAATATGAAAGTACGGAAGATGTCATATATAATTTAGGAGTGACAAATTAAAATCTCAAAAATTAGATATATGAATTATAGATATATGAATCATATGCCTGCCATCCTATCTTAACCAAAAAAAATTTTAACAGTTGTCTATTAACATTTGATAAGCAGTTGGATGTATTATATATTTATGTTACCACTTGAGCGGAGTTGTTGGACTTTTGTGATTCACTTTTCATTAGATCATTTTTAGTGGGAGTAAACTAAATGGGTAAACTAAGATACTTTTTGTGGGTCCAAAGTGATTTGTAGGATTTAAAAAATTTATAGTTGATTTAAGTAATTTTTACTTTAATGGTGGTTGTCTATAAGAAACCAAAACTTGACCCCACATTTTATATTTTTTATTCAAGTTACCATTAATTTAATTATTTTAATTAAAATACATATAATTTTTTAAATAAAATTTACTTTAAAAACTTAAAAATAATATTAAATATATTTTATTATAAAATTAAAAATGATACAAAATTCACAACAATAATACATAAAAAAAAATTACATTTTTATAAGAATATAATTATAATAAGGATTCGATTGGTTGGGATCCATTTGATAAATAAATAAGATTGAAAATTGAAAGAAAAAAATTTAGAATTTATAGAAGGTAAAAAATGATAATATAACCGTTACTATTTTTAAATATCATACCCTTACTTTAATGTTATTGGAATATTTGAAATATTTTATTAATATTAAATAATATTATAATAGGTTTCACATAGTTAACGTTAACTATATAGATAATAATGGAAATTAAATTTTAGTTCATTTGAATGTCATGTCAGCTCTCCTATAATGCAAATTTCTTATTACTAAAGTAAGCTATAAAGAATTTTGGTTTAACAACCCTGCGTTAAAGTTGCTCTTAGAGATGATTTTCCATTTTTATTTTTGAACAGTATTTGACTTGTGAATAAACTCCTGCCAGTACAATTTCATGTGATAAACCGTTGTTTTAACATTATTGTGAGATAAAGCATTTAGCCGAAACGTAATCATATGGTTCACGAAACAACCTGCATTTGAGAATCTGCATAAAAATCAACCTGCATAAAGACAACCTGCATTTGAGAATCTGTAAGCAATTTTCTTTGACAATATCAAGTATAATCTTACAGGCAACATCTCAATAGTAGACTTCAGATTCGACCATCTATTTTTTTCCCTACTTAATCATTTGCTGCATTCAACTGTAATGCATAACTTTCACGGCTTGAACAAACATATAAAGAAAGTCAAGTCTAGTTATGCTTTTACATATTAACAGACATCATTTGTGATTCATTGTCAAATGCAAACCAGTCACTAGTCACAGTCACAGCATCACTGAAGGCAAAAGCCAGGGGGAAGTAAAACATGATTATGTTACTCTAACCCCAACAAACGCACAAAAAAGAAGAAAAATGTTACAGTGAGAATAAAGAATTAAGAAACAAAAGAAGCTTCAGACGAGGATAAACTCAGTGCAACCTAGTCAACTCTTCTACTCTCTTGGCTAACTCCTCTACAGAAACATCCATTGCCTTGGAAATCTCATCCATCTTGTTGCGGTTGAGATCAAGAAATGATTCAATTAAATCCCCATCCAAAAAATTTCTGGCTTCAACAGTTTTCTTCTCGTTGTTAAATGATCTCCATTGCTCATGGCTGAGTCCTCCAACACCTTTGATCACCTTCCTCAGGCTTGACTGAAGCTTCTCTAAGAAAACATACTGCTCGTGAGGAAGAGAGGCAATTACCCCAATAACACCATTAATGGTGCCAAATATAACAGTGGGAATCTGGCCTACGTCGGAATCTGGCAATCGCATAACAAGGGAGCCGTGCCGGAACCGATTGACAAATTCTCCAAGGTGATACTCACCAGCCACCTCAAGTCGGCCCCGTTCTTCATCAGTGGCGCCTTCGCTATTTTTCCGAACAGTGAAGAGATTGAAACTATTTTCTGCACCAAGGTATATGTCATCATCAAGGATTTCAACAGCTGACATCCAATTTGCATTATAATCGCGCGCTCTCTCCTCAATAGCACCTTCTTCATGCTAAAATTATACAGAACAACAGTGTATTATTCCAAAAGGAAACTGAGAACTCAATATCCAGAAAATTATATATCCATCCACAAGAAGTTAAAATCAAAGAAAACCCAACCAGAAAGTATGGTTATGTCTTTAAGAGAAGAAAGTAAAAGGAAACAGTAAACTTGGAAAAGTGAACAGTTTGGCAATGACAGAAAACTTCAGCATTATGACAAATCAGGCTTACCTTATACATTAACAACGAGATTGATTTCATGAGATCACCAACTACAATAAAATCTCCTCTGGTTTGCACATATAAAGCCAGTATGTGCCCATGGTGTCCACATTCAGACTGTAATTCGTGAGTGCCATCTTCCCGGAGCACCCACTTGTACAGCTGAATCTTTTGATTAATAGCAGCAAGCAATTTACCATTAAACGCGTTCAAGCAGTAAACAGCTCCTTTTGTTTCTTTTTCGGCAATCAGTTGTAGCTTTCCCTCTTCAACTGAAAACACAAGAATCCTTCCCTACACTCGCATTGAAATTTAAAAAGGAGTTAAGATATCATGAGCTTTTTGACTAGATCATTACCTAAGAATACACATTTATCAATTTACCTTGGTTGGCTCATTTTCCTCTGGCAATACATATGCAGTTCCAACACAGTAATACACGTTATTATCATCTGAGAAGGAGCAGCTAATTATAAAGCAACCATACTCATAAGTGTCAAGTGAATAAACTGATATGAAGTCAAAAGTCTGGTCATCCAGCAAGCGGACAAAATGCATTTCAGATTCTTCAGCACTTGCGGAACTGTACTTCAAACTACAAATAGCAAACGTCCTAGTTTGCTCCTGATGGCAGATTCTTCGTGCATGCTCCCCAAGTGGAATAGAACGAATATGCAGTTTTTGTATGTCATCAATGGTGCCAATAGTAAGCTCACCTTCTTTGGCGATCGCTAAACTGTTAAAGTTAAGAACAGCTGCTAAGTGCCAATCTGAATAAAGAATTTTGCATTGAAGTACAAGACCCAGAAACAACAATAAGGGAGAAATGTGGAGCAACAAAAAAACAACATACCTGTCTGGAAAAGCAGCAGAGTTGAAAGGGCACATGTGACTCACTTCCTTCAGATTTACATTACTATAAAGTAACTTTTTGTTACTACTATAAATCACAGTTGGCCGATCAGATGCAGCAAATACATGGGTAGTATTCTTGGATGAGAAAGTCCGTAAAGTAATAGGTTGAGTCCCAAGAGAGACCTTTTTCCTATCTGATAATTCACCAGTACTTGTGTTCAACATAAAGTTTAAGAGATGGCCGTCACCAAGGGCACATAGCAAGTAAGATATCTGGAGAACAAAATGATAAAAGCAATAAACTTTGTTATAATGTTCTGAACTAGGAAGGTAAACACCATTAAATTTATGAAAAATGAAATTGTATGCTTGGCAAATGAATCAAATTAGTTGTTTGAAAATTACAAAAATATTTAGCACAGGCAGAACTGTAAAAAATATCAAGACATATGCCCACAGCTACTAGCGTGTGTAAAAATCCAAAACTGCTACTCTAAAAATATAACTTGGAATGAAAGTGATGAGCATTTCAAATCATAATCAGTTCAGAAAGAAAATAACTAAAAGCATAAGTGGAGAAACAGAACATAAAAAGATAGCTCAAGGAAAGCCTACCCCTTCAAAAGCACAAAGAAGAACAGATCTAGGTATTATCTCTCCTCCCAAATGCTCCTTTGTGATGAGATTAAGGTCAGGAAGAGAAAAAAGTCTAACACTTATATCAGTCCACATTCCAACTGCTGCTAGATGACTCTGATTGGGGTTTTCACCAATGGGATTTATGTCTAGGCACGAGATTTCATACTCCAGTTGGGCATGCTTTACTTCCTGTAATACACCTTCTCCAATTTCAAGATAAACCAAGTGCCCACCGCCTGTAGCCAACAAAACCTGTCTCCATGCGTAACAAGAATTACTAACTTGACTGCAAAATGCGTGTTGGAGTAGTAACACCCAACAAAGGAAATTTGCATAACATAAAACTGTAAAAATAATTAATGAGTAATCTAAGATGGTAACTTTCAAAAAGCATGATAAGATACTCTACCAAAACCATTTGTAGTGAGATTCAGAAATAAAATCAGAGGTCAAATTGTGAAGATGCAGCCAAGCACAAAATAAGTTTCAGGTCCCAAGCAACACTAAAAAAAAGTTACCTTCAGTCAAATTAGTTTCAGTGTTTGGATATCAATATATACTATTTACAAAAGTTACTTTTGAGTGAACGGTTAGAAATTTAAAACTACTTTTAAGGGAAGTCGTATATAAGATCTTTCGAGTGAACAGTTAAAAATATATAACGGTTTATAACCTACTCTTAACTCTTCCATAATCCACACATGCAAGGATTTTGACACATTATATCACTTGGGAGTATTTCAATCAGAAACTCTACCCTTTAGAGAAGAGTGTGATAAGTATCTAAGTACTTTGGGAACACTCTTAAAAGCTAACTATGAAGGTGGAAGAACCAAGTCACTTAAATACTCCACCATGCATCCCATAATACTCAATATGGGACTTGCACCCCAATAACACCCAAGTCCTTATCATAGTACCTAGCCATAACTAACCATTGCTCAAGTAAATTCCCGAAAAATTAGTGGTAAATGTTTCACAGCCACTATTTCAATATTCCTATTGGCTATTTTTCTCCTTTTATCTTTAGATTTAACTCTCGCGGCTATTAGCATTACTTTACTCTCTACTTCAATAGTCATATAACTTCTTTAAAAAGGTAGCTTTCTTCCATTAAGCAGAAGCAGCTACTAGCAAAACAGGTACTCTATGTAATCAAAATTAAATAAGGAACTGCTCATTGATGACTGGCTTTCAACATCTTGGCAGCTAAGGTATGTCATGACATATACATGGAAAAGCAAGTGAGAAGAAACGTAACAGATTGTGATTCTGACTCAGCTTTGAAATGCCACATTGCAATTAAAAAACCATGCAAAATCATTTACATTTTTAGAAATCAAACCTGGGTGGCATTGGCAGTAGCTACATTTACTGAAAAGCCTGATGGTGCATTCCATTCATTCAGGAGCTCTCTAGTTGTGGAACTGACAAGTCTTGCAGAGTTCGATGTGACCTGTTACATTGGTTATTAGCTAATGATAAGTGGCTCCAATTCAACACCAATAAAGTATAAGAAATGTGGAATAGTACAACAGAAGAATATCAATTTATGGTATAAACTTACAAAAATTATTCATATCATAGTCATAGCTAAACTTCAAAAGAGAATGCAAAACTAGAGCTTTCACACGAAGCTTCAAGAATACCAACACATTAAGCATACTTCAAAACTTAGGCGCTATTGATTTCAACAGATTTTGATTCTTTTTGTTTGATTTAGATTACAACTTATCCGTAATTTTTGTATTCTCCTATGAATAACTTTTTGACATTAAATTTTTTTTTAATTCTAAAGGAAAATAAACTTTATCCCACTTAATGGCGTCAACAAATCTACACAAGAGAATACTACCTATGTCCAACAAATTACAATATCCATGAAGTATTGAAGTATCTTTTCCTACTATATATTGTATTATTTATTGCTCTTATTTTTCAATCCTTTTAATATTACTTTCACATACTATCAATGGAGGGTAATTTTGCTTGTCAAAAAAAATGAGGGGCAATTTTCTAAAGTCGTAATTTTTATTTCCCATACAAAATTAACAATGTTTCTAACTTCGTGTATCATTTGCTAAAATGACATGTTTTGAGAAAATTATAAAATTAAATAAAGAGGTCATGCAGAAAATATAATAAATGAACAGCCAAACAGTAACATTTGATTGCAAATCCACATGACATTGTTTTACGGCTATGAACAGATTTACTTGTTTTACAATAAGAATTGCTTTGTTAACATCCATATTTCTTAAATTTAAAAAAGTAAAAAATAAAAAGATGTAAAGTATTAAATAAACCAAAAACAACCATAGTGGGAAAATCAGGTCAGAACCTACTTGTACAAGTTGATTGTGAACTGCATCATGGCAAAATAATGTCTGTACTTGAGAACAGAATCCCTCAATCTCAGTTTCTTCCAGCTCATCCTCAAGATTCATTGCTAATATTCTTGTTTCACTTATAAAACTTACAACCAGGAAAGTGTCAAAAGGATCATCAGTTGAGGATCTTAGTGACCACATTCCTTTGATACCTTGAAGTTCTACTGATGCCTACAAAAGAATGAATTTGAAAATTAATATTTTGCAAAGCAAGTGTTGTTTAATATAAAAAATTTGTATTTTCTTTTCCTTTTCAAAGCGCGTTGGGTGCAGAAGTTCCACGGAAGGACAAGAAGGAGAGCTTACCTGTTCATTGATACCTATTCCATTACGAACAACACGTAGAGAGCCATCCTTGTAAGCTCCAGAACAAGTCACAACCTGACCTTGGCCTTGCCTTTCAAGGTCTACCACACAGAAGTCAACAATGGGCCCCAAATTGACATACCTTTCCAAGACTTCCACATAACAACCTTTTGCATCAGGCTGTAGATTTAGCTTTATGAGCTGTGTATTTCACCCATCAGAAATTGTTATTAGATATGTATGAATTTGGAAGTAAAAGTAATCGGCAAGGACATGCAATAATACACTTTAAAGGCTTCAAAGCAGTATGACATAGCAACCAGAGAAGAAAACACTCAAAATATTGCAAATCTGCCTAATAGATTAAGGAGGCGGTTTCCTGTTTGTTTTGTCATATAGACTTATGTTTTTACCTTCTTTTTTCATTTGCTTTGTCGTGAAGTCGGAATATTAAATATTTGTCCTAAATATGCTGTTAAATTATGGTTGGTGTACTAGGATATGTTTTTTAAGAAACATCTCAAAAGTCTCATCGAGATAAAACGTTATCAAAATTCAGTTTGATAGCCTTGCAGAATACTGTAAAAACAAAAGCATCCCTATAAAAATTACACTTAAACAAGTACTTTTGAGAGTCTTAATTTTGATTGCAACACGTAAGCAATCAATCCAACATAACTCCATACTATGTTCAAAACTAGTACTTCAGGGAGTCAGAAGTTAAGATAAAATCAACTTTCAAGTATGAAATGAAAATTTATAAAATCATTTTCAAGTTTATCACTCCACCTGTGAATCTCCATAGCTTGAACCAATATAGACAAATGCATTATCAAGGTATGAAATTGTAGATGCAATGGAAGTCTCCCCAAGGGGCTCTATTTTGAGAGCGGTAACCCTACAAAATAAAAAGGCAAATAACTCACGACATCTGGCAGCTAAAATTAAAAAACGGACTATCTCTTTAGTCAATAGATTGATGCACAATACAGAGAATAAATATGATAAGCCAACATTGAAATAGGACAATGAGAGATTACATACTTCTCTTTCTCATGGGTAATAACAAGTAGACTGAGCGACCCTGTATGGTCACCAAGTAAGTATCTAGAACCATCAGGATCAACTCTTCCATAGGCTTTTGTAATTGACTGAAAAGTACATCAAAAGGTATAATTTAGACAAGTTCAAGAACTTGTGACAAATAAGTAAAATTCGTGAACATTTGAAAATTCACGGCACATGATTTAAATGGAATGAAAAGATACTATTATTTAGCATACAGGTCTGATTGGAATAGCTTTAAAGCCATCAGCACTGCAGTATACTATGGTTTCTTCTCCGATAATAAGCACACCACAAAGAGGCGAGGGAACCGGTATCAATAAATCAGCCCCATTATCAAGATTGTTGTGTGACCACGGACCCTCAACAAAGTCTTTATCCTTCAGAGCAACCTCATATGTTTTAACATGACGGGCATCTTTGTTATCCTGTCATTGATGAAAATATAATATCAAAGCCATCAAAATTTTATGATAAAGGCAGTTATGGTTCTGGCCAAATATATTACATAAATGAAATGGGGGGAAATGCAACAGACTTTTCATTAACAAGAAATCGTCCCAACAGTGAGTAATTAAAAGTTATGCAATTATATGAGTAAACCCAACCATAAACTGAAATACAACAGTACAACTATGACATATGGCTCTGAAATCATACATGCTTCAAATATTGTCTAAACACTTGTCACCAATTGTGATACAAATCTATGTAGTCGACTCTACTTAAAGGGATAAGGCTTGATTGTTGTTGTTGTGGTACAAATCTATGCAATTCTGACCCTTTTCTCTTGCATAACAAAAATTACATGTTGAGTTTCTAATACACAATTTTTTCTTGCGTCTCAAATATATTAACTTGCAAATCGAAAGGAATTATTATCCTGACTGAGCACTGGCTACAAGAATATAATCTATAGCCAAAATGAAAACATGTACAATTCCCGTAAGAA